ATTAAAGCCATCCTTCACCCTAGGCCCGGCTGTCTGCCTATGGTGCCATCCAATGTGGCACGGCCTATGGTTCTGCATGGTTTCATCCTCCATCCCACGTGACGGCGGATGAAGAGAGACTTCACTTGCTCTGCCCTGTTAGAGCACTGAGGATCTATATTCAGAGGCCCTCTTCATGGCGGAAGGCGGACCTGTTGCTGGTGTGCTTTGGGTCCCCCAAGAAGGGGCTCCCCGCTTCTAAACAGACCATCAGCAACTGGATTGTCCATGCTATTTCTACGGCCTACCAGGTGTGCGGTATGCCTTCACCTGTGGCTGTGAGGGCTCATTCCACCAGAGGCTTGGCGTCCTCTAGAGCCCTTCTCACGGGGGCTCCCATCCAGGAGGTCTGCGAAGCAGCTGCATGGGCCACCCCACATACCTATATTAGGTTCACAGTTTGGACATTTTGAATGACTCTTTTGAATTAGCCTAGTATAGGCTATCAAATCTTTGTAAATAATGACATAATTTTTATTTCTGTACAAACTAACCATTTAAAGTGGTCATGAATTGAGAAATTACATATAAGTCATTGTACTTTAAAAATATCAGGGTTTCTGCAGGTTTCAGTAAGTCAAATTTAATTTAATAACATTTTAAGACCATAAACATTGAAATTGAAGACATACACGATGTCTTAAACGCACAGTCTGTAATTTTTGGCCACCAGAGGGCACTCGATCTAAATAATAACAAAAGACGTACTTTGATGACGTCGGGAAAGAGTATGGGCTTACGGGAGTTGTTGTCGCCGTCCATGACAACCATAGACATAATATATAATCTCTATTATCTATGTATTTATTATGTCTATTATGACAACCAGCCCTCTGAGGGAGAGAGAGAGAGAGAGAGAGAGAGAGAGAGAGAGAGAGAGAGAGAGCGAGCGAACACATCGGAACTGTCATTCCCTTCATTCCTCACTCATTCTAACTATATATTTTGGGGGCAATCACGTCTTTTCAAACAGAGATATAAATGAATTTTCAGAGCCCTATTAAATCAATATTCCTTCTAGCTAGTATTAATAGAAGTTTAAAAAACACGGTCACCTTTTGTTAATAAAATAATTACGTTTATACTATGATATCGAACAAGATAACGTTAGTGAACTGCATATGAAGCTACTTTCTCCAGCTCTATTTAGAAGTTGGAACAAATTTTAATTTACATTATAGCTACTATACATGAGATCTAGCCCGTCTGTGTTTCACACATGACATAATTTCACAAAATATACGGATAGATATATTTAACTGAATGGATGCTTACCTGTTTATTAGAATGCAAGCGAGATCGGCATAGATCTCTCTGTTGCCTATTTAGCTTGTCAAAGCTCTCTCCATTTTAAAATTCAACCCCACGGTTTACTGTGTCATGCTTCTTCTCCTGTCTCAAACCCTTCTCGGGTTATATTTTTCACCTCTACGTTTGCTAGGTTGACCATATTTTGATTACCAAAAACCAGGACACTCGGCCAGCAGTTTTTTTGAAAACCAGGACATTTTCATCACTTTATAAAAACAGTCAGGACGACCAGGACAGAACGTGAAAGCAGGACTTGTCAGGACTGTTGGTCACCCTAACGTCTGCGCTTTGAGCTGGCTCCAGCAGCAGAACGTGCAGGCAAAGCGTAATCATGGTCCATAAATATCCTGTAATAGAGCGAGCATGTTTGCGAGACAGATGTTGTGCTCCTAACTGCGCACGCGCATAATGTCAGAGTGATAAACTAGCAAGAGATCTCGCGCGTGCAGCCAAACCCCCCTCAAGTTTGGTGCAGGTGCAAAATCATACTAGCTAATACATTTTTCTTCGTCGTCGTTTTTTTTGCTTTTATTGGCGGTAGTCCGGTGTTCCCCTTTGTGTTTGGCGGTTTCGCTGGGTTCCGCATGAAGTTAGAGAAAATAAGGGAGTCAAAGGTTACATGACGTCATAGACAAAACGGAAATAAAGAAACGGCCCGTGTCTTCAAATTAAACTATACATTTCTCCGGATTTGAAAGTTGGTGGAAACTGTCTGGATAATGTAAGTACATATCTAATAGAAATATATAACATAGATACAGTTATTTTTGCTATTTTTAAAGCAGAAAAAATACATATTGTGGCTTTAAGTGAAGTGAAAGTTGTGAATATAAATAAATAGAAAGCTTTTGTAACATTATACACTACATTTCAAAGAAATTAAAGAAAGTAATAGCCTACTCTTATTTAGCGAAGACGCATTAAAGTAATCAAAAGTGTCAGTAAAGACAATTATAATGTTACAAAAGCTTTATTTCGGATACATTTACCTTAAACCTTCTATTCATCAAAGAATCCTGACTTCTTTTTTTAAAAACATTAATAATAATCAGAAATGTTTCTTTGGCAGCAAATCACACCAGCATATTATTCCCTTAGCCTAGTAATATTAACTCTACCATGAAATGTGTGATATACATATTGAATTGTATTATATAATTAATGTAGACAATGTATTAAAAGACTAATGGAAATTGAATATTACAGTATTTAATCATGTATTTAGGTTACTGTTTGATTCAAATACCAAAAACCCTAAAGTTACATTTTGCCATGATAGTGAGGTGCTATAGGCATGGTCATAGGCATATAGGCCAGGTTTTAACTGTGATTATCATGATCTAAATGCATGATACTGGTCTGGATGAGCATATAATAAAACTCAAAGTCAGAATATTACATTTTACCAAATAAAATTGAAGTCGTTTATATTTTTTTAAACAGATGTTACTGTTTTTGTTAATTAACATAAATTTAACATAGTAAATCTGCATCCTAACTAAGCTAATGGAACTTTCAACTCACTGTCAAATATGTGTTTCGAGACAAAACCACAATTAACGCTCTGGTTTCTACAACTTTCACTTGGAAGCAATTATCTGGCTTTAAACTTGAAAGAAATAAAAAAAATATTGACATTTATTGTGATAATTATCGATATCAACTGAAATAAAAATATTTTCATGATAATTTGTTGGGCCTTATCGCCCAGCCCTACTTGCACTACTCACACAGGGTCAGAGGTCACAGCAGGTCCATCACTGAGATTAGGCGGCAGACCAATGGAGTTGTTACTCTTCATAGACACACAGCTGAATACTGGAGATGCTGCTCTCTGAGTGTGAAGAGAAGCCTTCTCTTCTCTCTCCTCAGACACACTCATTTTACAAGACATCTTCTGCTTCTCTTCCTGCCACATGAGAGATTTGATTCAGGGCTGTATGTTGAGACAGAGAACATGCATTATACAGTTAAAAATAAATGTGTGGGTTTTACTATATAGTTTAATTGGATTTCGTTTAATTGGGACCTTGAAAGCCTTTATTAAACCATATTATCGTGAATATAATCCACTTTGCGTCATGCCTAACAACGCCCTTCAGCCGTGACTTATACAGCACAGCCTCATGTACCTTAGTGGTTACATAAAATAAGATGAGGTGTATATATGATCAGGGCCATGGGGGGCGTGAGGTCAGCCTTCAGATCACCATGAATGTAAACGGGATTTTAATGATAAAATATACTATTTAAAAATCACATTTTGCCAATTAAATTTTCACATTTTCTTATTTTTGTGAATATTAAGCTAAATTAATAATATTTTAGTTAACCCTTTGACACGTAAGTTTAAAATATTCTAACTGACCCCCAAGCGTGAGTTTTTCAAGGTGACCGTTATTTAGAAACTGTCACTTTAATGTTTCCATGGTGACACATCATTGCTTGTCACGTGACACAGTGCAACCACAACACAGCGCTGAATGAATGATCTGCTTTTATGTAATTTTTCCTTTTTCTATTCAAAATATTCACAAATGCATTAGCTATAGCATGAAACACTGTAATTCCGATTGTCAAATATGTGCAAGTGGATGTGTTTTGTTGTTTAAACACCTTTATAACGATCACGTTAGTTGAGCTGTACGTTCGATGGGCGGGACTATGTTGGTTTGTGCCACAGTTCAGAGAATCGGATCTGTTGGATTTACAACACGTCAATTTCTCTACAAATCAAGAAATACATGAAAGTAAGTGGCCGGTGAACTGGGAGAAGAATAGAGCAAAATGTAAAGCTACTTACACACAATGGGCCCTATTTAACGATCTGAAACGCAAGTATCAAGCTAGAAGGGCAAGTAACTTTGTGGGCAAGTCTTTGGCGCTGTTGCTATTTTACCGGCTGGGTTTAAAAATTACTATTGCACCCGACGCAAGTCTAAAAGGGGTTGGTCTGAAGTAGCTTCATTATTCATAGGTGTGGTTTGGGCGTAACATGCAATAAACCAATCAGAGCGTCATGTGTTACTATTTTTATCACATTTATAACAATAGATGATTAATCTTGAAGATGATTCGATGTTAATATTATTATACTTGATCTGTAGATAAAGGTCTATGTTTTCGAATAAAACAACATTATCTTGCTGGACTTTATTGCTGTAACTTAATCGTGTTACTTTCTACCGGGTGTCGGACATTGCCGGTTAGATCACAACACTAGAGTCAGATCACTATAATTGTTCTTCACACGCACAGTAACTGAAATTTAAAACTGTTAAAAGAAAAGGCTCAATAAACTATTGCATAGATAGATACTGTATAATACACTGTCCAACAATATGTATTTCCTTTGTGCTTTGAACTTCTCAATGCAGACACGAAACGCTGCGCGCTGTAACTCCATGTGGCTTCAAGCGCATCATTCTCCGCTCGGGATGCGCATAAGCGCCTATCTATCATATGTTGCTACCTCGTTAAACAGCTGTGCTATACATTTAAAACATGTCTCAATTTTATCGTAGCCTTGGCTATATCTAAAATAATTTATGTTTTTGATTTTTGTTATCTTGTTTTTCATTAATGTATTTTACAACAATACAAAGAGCAATGTGCATTATCCACTAATCTAGTTTATACTAGCATTTTTGTCATAGATTATGATCATATATTTTTTGGATTTATTGTTTATTTTATAATGAAGTTTTCTGTATTAAGTAGATTGTGTTTAACACAAAAAATGATTAGTCAACACAAAGAGTTATAGAAATTCTACTTGATTTAAAAAAAAACTGCACTGGTATCGGATCGGTCGATACTCAGAATTTTTGACATTGGATCGGATCGATTCTGAAAAAGATGGTATCGGAGCATCCCTAGTTGATGTGTGTGACATCATTGCCGTTAGGGGTGCAATCAATAACGTTATCGCGATATCACGTTGCTCGATATACATATCGAAAGTGTCGAAATATTTATGCAATATTTTGTTTATGATGCGTCTGGTCTGACATGCACCGTTGCATTTCCCCCCTCATTTCCTGATTCTCCTTCTCCATAAACAACATAAAATCAAGGAGAGGTTTAACTTTTCATGCTACAGATATCCCACAGTGGTCAAAAAGAACAGGGGAGACACTTTGTTTTTCTCAATATAAAGTCGCTACTCGCTCCGAAGCTAACCGCCGTCACTCTCTCACTTCTCCCTTGCTCTCCTACCACACAGTCCACCCCCACACACACACACTTGCGCCGGCTCGACGCGCACACCAGCGCAAAAGTATAATCAGGCCACCTGGCAACTTCATGCGTTTTCACTGATCGGATAGCTATCTGATTTATCAAAATACGACCTTCAATTCCCGCACTATATGCATATTTAATGGAGTGCACGTCACCGAAAGCAACAGTTATGAGGCCATCCTTAAAAATATTTTGGTTTGCAGTAACAGCAATTTTTTTTTTTTAAAAGGGTCGGTAGGTAGGTCTATATTTTATTTTTTTTCAAGATTCAGTGTAAAAAAAAAGTACAATTTTGGTCATGGTGATTGTAATTTTTTTTTTTTTTAAATGCATATTGTGATGTCACTGACTGGGTCTTCAAACTGTGCATCCACCGCTAGGTGTTAAAGGGTTAGTTCGCCCATTTAAGACATGAAGTTGTATGCAATCCTTACCAGCACTATAGTGCATACACACTGACCCACTCTGTTGTGACCCCCCTGGTCAGAGTTCTGACTGCTGAAGTTTTTGAATGAAGTACTCCCAGTTATTTTCCGGGGCCACAAAACTGTGCGTTTTTACGTGAAAAAATGATTTGCGTTTCAAAGCTTGATTAATTTACCACACAAAAAACACGCCAGTCAAAATTCATACCTCAGTTTTAATGCGGCACTATTTTCTATCCATTTCTATCAATCCGCGCTGCCGCAACGTCAACAGTGCGCACGTTACGATCAGCTGTTGATAGCGCGCGACTTGCTGACAACATGTCTGACTGCGAAACTTATTATGATGATGAAACGAATTTTAGCACAATGTCAGACGGATCAGATGATGAAAGTAATTTTAGCACATGGCCGTGGGAACATATTTTATCATGGGGGTGCTGGGGGCGGGGCTTAATGGGCATGGCTTGACAGAGTCGGCGCCAGAGCAGATCTACTGGAGGGCCATTGGGTCATCAGGGGGTTTGCACTGCCGTTTGAGAAATATTTTGACGCAAAAAAAAACCAAACAAACCAGAAACACCTTTTACTACTATCATAATTATTAATAATTATTATTTGGGAATTTCTCCACCACTTTTTGCCAGGGTCGATATTGTCCCCAACACTTTTAAACATCTCGCGGCGTGGATGTACCAATACAAATAAATAAAACAAATCCGGTTAACTAGTCTAGCAGAACATTCATTTGTTAAATAAGAGGAGAAATAGCACGCTGAAATGTGTTATTTTTTAAAATCAAGTGATCATAGTAGGCTACTCGTTGACTCAGTGCTGTGCTGATAGTGTTCTCTTGTGGCTCGCGCTGCCACAAGGAACATCTTCACACGGACACGAGCTTGATCAGTTGCGGAGAAATCTCTATTCGTACCGGTGAAACCACAAAGTAAAATGCATTCAAACATTTTGTCATGTTCCTACTTGACAACAACTGATAAACATAATCGGTTTTAATGAGGGGGGGGAAAAAACTATGCGAGTGTGGATAGAACTCAGAAACTCTTGCACGTTATGTTCTTCCACTTGACTTGACCATTACATTAACTACCATTACACCACATACAGGCGAATTTGAGGGAATGCAAGGTCTCGAGGTGCATTTTTGTTGAACTTATTTTAACTTGAGTGCCGCGTTTTGAGAATGAGGTTTCATTCGCGAGACGCGAGCGCAACAGTTGCGTGCGCGTTCACAGTGAAAAGCATTTGGAACAGTAGCAGAGGGTAATGGAAAAACTCGTTCTTTGTGAACAGCCCTTAATGCCAAAGAATGCTTTAAAGACATCTGTATTTAGTTTTTTCACATGCATAAAATGAGTGTCAAATCAATTTTGAGATGCTGGACCTCAACCAGTGTCATGCCACTCACTCTATGCGAGATCGACTTTTGCCTTATGATAGGCAGCCTATATTAATTTCTACACAACTCTTCGACAACATATGGAAATGAAATAATCGTTAGAGTCGTTTTATAAAGGTAGAAGGTGTTCTTAAAAAACATGTTGAAAAACAAAGTTATTTAAAGTCACGTCATATTAAATTTCAATGTAGTGAAACAGCTGTCGCCAGGGGGTGCTGCAGCACCCTCAGCACCCCTAGTTCCCACGGCCCTGTTTTAGGACAACGACAAAGGGATACCTGAAGTGATATATGAACCGGAGTATACCGATGCCGAACTAACCTATCGATTGACGAGGAGGTCAGCTGTCTGCATTAGCTGCCTGCATCCAATGACATTTTCCCTGCAATGCTAACCCAGACAGCAAACTGACATTGAATCAACGTGGAAACGACGTCTCTCATGACATTGAAACAACGTTGATTTTGCTCATCGAATTAACGTTGAACCAATGTCAGACGCGGCATTCTTCAAAGCTAAATGAAAATCGAAAATTGGTTTGCTTTCATAACGTTGAAACAACGCGTTGATTTCAAGTTGATTTTCCGTTAGTTTTGAAAGAATGACGCGTCTGACGTTGGTTCAACATTAATTCGATGAGCAAAACAATGTCAGATCAACGTTGTTTCGATGTCATATTTCCACGTTGATTCAATGTCAGTTTGCTATCTGGGAAACCTGGAGACGTTCTTCTACGTACCTAAACTCAATTGGAAAAAGCGACCCAAACCAGCTGGACTTGGCGGTCAGATGTCGGCTGAGTAAGTGTGATCGCTCACGTTGCTTTGTAGTTTTTTATTTAAGAATTTA